TAAATGTGTGCCGCTTTTTAAGAGAAGGTGTTAAGTGTTTCTTACAATTTTTGTTTATAAATAAACAAACATGCAAAAAAAAGGGGTAAAATGTAAAATAATTTATCAAATTCCAAAAAAAATAATAAAGAAAATAAAAAAAAAATTAAAAATATTTCCTGATCTATAAGCCAAACAGTCTAATGACGGTAAGTTCAAAGCAAAATTTATGGATTTTGCAAGGAAAGGAATTTAAAAAAAAAATAATTGCAAATTTAATAATTCAATTGATGATGGAAGGCAAAATGCCAACCATTATATTATTATGTTTTTGTGTATAAAAAGAGTTTACGCAAGAATGAACGCCACATTGGTTTCTTCTTAAATTTTTAATTTGATTTCGTCAGTATTAATTTCTTAAGGTTGAATTCCTCACTGCTCATTATACATTAGTTAGAATTTAAGAAAATTTAATACAATATCAAACAATTTTATTTATTATATTTAACTAGGTGATATTCAATTCAGTAAACCTCGAATAATTGCGAACTGACTCTGATTAGTATCGTTTATACGTTAGAATGTTAATAATTTTATGATAATGTAATTATAATGCTATATGTATATATGCATAGCTAGGTGGTTTCAATTAGATTTTTTCTTAATTTTCATAATTTTAGGTTCGGTTTCTAAAAAATACAGTACATATACATAAGTATGAATATTCTAGTTTTCTAGTAGGTGCCGGGGTATTGATATTGTGGATTTAGATAGATTTCTCAAAAGAAGCGAAGGGCTCTGATAGATGGCATAAAATCAAATATTTGATGGCACCCTAGTGGTCAAAAAGTAGTGATATAAAAATGGCATATTTGTGCTAATTGTGATGCGGCCACATTACCTTAACGGCCATTTAAATCAACCAATCAAACGAATATATAGTGTATTTTATGCGCGTACGTACGTCTTAATTAATTCTTCCTGATATTTAATTAATTTGCCGTTATGAATTTTTTCTTATACGCGATTTAAATTTTGTATTGATAATAATAACAGGTATGAAAACTTCCTACACGTATCCAAAAATTTTGAATACCATGGTAATACGAATTAATATTATAATATACATATACACATATATAACATCAATTTATATTATGTACACATTTTTTATTTTCGAAAAATCAAAAAGAAATTAAAACATAAAATTTGAATATAAAATTATTTTAATAGTTTTAATATTTTCCATATAATCTGATATTTATATCTTCTCTCCTATTAAGAGTGCGGTCGGTCTATTATACCGGGTTTTATTATTTTTTTATTATTAAAGTTTGCGAAATATTGTGTCATTATTGGAAATTATAAAGTTATAAAACTATACATATACAATATGAAATAATAAACAAAATGAACGACAAGGCCATATTGATTATAATCGTTTGCAGTTCCTTAAACAAATCAATCTACATATTCTAATGTTATATTAAGTTTTGTGAGTTATTGGATTATTCATTAATTAATCGGCATTTTACTGAAGAATTTCATTTCGTGTAGTTTTATTTCAGGAATGGAATACATATTTTGACATTGTCGAACTTGTTGAAAAAAAAATCATAATTTTCTAAAGAGTTTAATGATTATTCAATAAGTTAATTTGGTCCCTTATTTAAATTATAACACAGAATGGCAATACTTTTAAAAGCCAATGAAGAAATCAGTGAGAATATTTACTTCTAGCAAAATTTTAAAATTTCTTTAGAGTTGAAATAGAGACTTTGTAAATTTACGCATAAATTACAAATTTTAATCTCAAAACTTATTTACTTATTATTAATAAAATTTAGCCGATTCAAAGTTAGGCTGCTTTTGCAACTAATTTCCACATGAAGTTTCCAGTTGCCAGACTTTTAATATAATATTATCTCTAAATAAGATTCTTTTATACGAAATTTTGCAAAATTTTCAAATTTATGAAAATGTTTAAATAGAAAACGGGAATTATAATTATTTCATACAGATATAAAAATTCCACTGATTAAAATTTTAATAAATAATTAGAAATACAAGTTATACAAAAATAAAATCAAAACTAAAAGGAAAGAGAAAAATACATATGTACATATGTATGTATTTGACCTACAATGCGTTCGCAACTAATAAAAATCATAATTTTTCTATAGGGTCATCTTTCTTTTCTTAATTATTTATTCATAAAATATTTTTTGAATAATTAATTTTTTTTAAATACTAATTAAAATATTCTTGCCTAAAAACAATAATCATCACATGTAATGAAAGCTAAAAGGCATAGTAATATGCGTAATTAACCAGGTTTCTGTATTTGTACAATTTCTGTATGTATGAGTGTATACCCAAAAAGTTCCGGTTTTTCAGGTACATATTTTAAAATTTTATAACGAAACGACTTGTGATGTTAGGGGTATGTATGTACTCGTATATATATATACGGTATATGGTATATACGAAAATTTTTTGTATTCGTAGAAAAAATCGTATTATTTTATTGAATCGATAAAATATATTTTTATTATAAATAAATTAGCATAATCGATTGACTTAGTAGTTCGGTGAATTATTAAAATAAAATTAAGAAAAAATTAATTTTTTTAATTGCCTTTTGTCATCTTTTTTTATTGTAGAAATGTCATCACATTCTTTATGTCATATAGTTTATACATATTGTATTTCTATAGAAATATTTTGTATATTTTTTTTTTTAAAAAACACCAAAAATTCATTATTAATACTATTGTTGTAACATTGTTAATATGTACATACATATACAGAATGTGTAATAAACGTATATAATAATTTGATGGCGCTTCCTTTTTTAATTTTTATCAAAAAAGTTTAATAAAAAATTTACAGTAAAATGGGATTAATCTTAAGAAAATATTCAAATTTAATAAGATTTCTATACGATTACTTGTGTTGTGAACTTGTGGTGTTTCGTTACCCACATAACACTTAAATAATATAGTTGTGTCGAATTATAGTTGCTCGCATTATAAATTGTTAAATCAACAGTGTTCGAGGAACTTTTGGAGTGACATTTTTATAAATTTTTTGAATATGTAGGGTTAAGAGATTTTAATTGAGTCCTTTATGCTTGGAACTTTATAGTTGAAGAGCACAATATACCCTCCTCTTGGGTGGCAATGAATTTTTAATCTATATTGTAACTAATCTGAGTTCTTTTTGATTCAAAACGCATTTATTATTAATAGTGTTGATTAATTACTATTAATTGGCACAAATTTTTTTGAGAAAATGAATTTAGGACTATAAAATTATGAATATTGTATAGCGTTTCAAAATAAATTCAGAGAGATATTGAAATATATCTGTATTAAATTACTTGAGGTGATTTATTTTAAAGATCAAGCATGTTTACTGAAATTAGTCCGATTGTTAGTATTGAATCAAGTATAATTGCATTGTTAATGCAAATTATCAAGTTCAGTTTTAATTTTGAGATAAATTACTTTTGAATCTAAATTTTTCATTAAAAAAAATATGGCAGCCTTATCGTCGAATTTCTTTTATTATATAAGTACTTCAAGAAATAATTAATTTCTACCAATTTTATCCCGTTTAACGGTGTTTTTTTAGTATCTGTACACAATTCAAAAACAAACTTTTAGCAAAAACAAAAAAAAAAATAAAATGAAAGAAAAAATACCACAAAGTTAAAATTTCAAAAGTAACAAAAAAATTAATTTTTTAAATTATGACTAAATTTACATTTGAATAGATGAAAGTCTTTTTTAAAAAATAATGGTATAATTTTAACATAAATGTGAAAGATGCGGTAAAATCGTAAAAGATATGAAAAAGATGATCGCATTTAAAAAGTCTTGTAGTTTTTTTGGGACAATAAACATTACAAAAACAAAAGAACAAAACAAAAATAAAATAAAAAATATAAAAATTTCTTTTAAGTATAAATTATGATCGTTATTAATTTGAACGATAACAGAAGAAAAAAAAAACAAATGAAGATTAAAACGAAGTAAAACAAGAAAAATTTACATAATATTAGCGATTAAAATTTATATTAGGGGAATTAAGAATGTAGGCACTAAAAAAAAAATTAATTTGAACCTAAAAATATGCAAAGAATGCTATTAGGAAAGAAATATATAGAATAAATTTGTAATTTGGTTCTTTTCCGGTTTCTAAAATAAATTATTTTTGATTACATAGCTATCTGCTGTCTGAACAAAAATGTGAATGTAACATTTATAGAATTTTTACTTACACATAGGTTACGATATAGGATCTGACGAATGATATATCTGACGGAATGTATACTATAAGCGACATTTTGCAGATTTGCGACAAAAATTGTGTCCGTCTTCACAAAAATTGTAGCAGATTGTAAGGTTTTTATTCATGGAAAAGCAATAATTTCTGTTTTGAATATTTTTAAGTATACATTCTAACAAATACCTATATACCAACTCTCGTACATAAATTTCAATAACATTATTAAAATTAGGCCACAGTAGTTAATAAATAGTATGTTTATAATTTATAAATTAAATTTATTTGCCATAGAACATAAATTTCTACCTTCACAGTAAAATATTTAGGGTAGAGGTGCTTTCCTTTAGAAATTTCAGCTCTCATATTTAAGAACTTAATAGCCATGTTTATATTTTAAAATTTAGTTATTTTCAAGTACCAGTTCTTTTGAATATACATCTAGTAAATTAAAAGAAATGATCCTGTAATATTACAATAATTCATTATTATACATTATAGAGACACCGGTTAACAAAATGTTCATTAAAGCTAATAACATTGTTGTTTAACTAATTTTTGTAAAATTAACATTAACACTTATTGAATAGAAACATAAGTGCATAACATAAATTTTGTTTTAACCAAATGAAGATCCAAAATTATTCTAATTATTAGGGTTTAAATATCTCATATTAATTTCAAAATGTATTTATTACTACTTATAAGAAATATGTATTTTAAGAACTTACCTTTGTTTCAGCTTCTATATAACTTTGATCACCGGCTAAATTTGGTAATGCCGTCATATTATATCCTAACCCTTGACATGTTTGGACTGTTATCCTTTGACATTGTAATCCATTTGCATTAATTGTTTTAATAAATTGTAAAATAATTACAAATATTGTTGAAAATAAATAATTTTTTAAATTAAACATATTTGAAGTAATCATAATTATGCACTTATCATTTAACTTATTAAATTACAATTATTTTTTAAATATTAAAATTAATTTTTATTAATTAAAAACTTATTTAAAAATGTTTTAATAGAACAATAATAATTGAATTCATTTTCAATAAATGAACATTTAACATTATTCTAAAATGAGATTTATTTGTTATTTAGTATTTTTTTGATATTTTTATAAAATATATGAAAATCAAAGATTTATTAAAATTTTTAATAAATTTACGTAATTTACACTAAAAGCAAAGACGTAAATGTAAAAATCAAATTGTATTTATAATAAACTTTGTAAAATAATTTCGATTTTAACAATTATTTAAAAAAAAAAAATTATAAAAATTTCCGCTGAAATACTGTCTCATCCGATGTTTTAACCGCGACTGATACTAGTAAATTTTACAATATTTATTATTTTAGTTTTATAGAAGGAGAGTAAAATATAAACAATCTTTTGAAATTAAAGGTGAAATAAGAGAGAGAGAAAACAAGAGAAAATAAAACAAAATATAGATTTTTAGTTTTTACCGTATCATATTCATTTGTCCGTACACATTTCGTTCGTACATGGAAATTCGATTTTATAATTTGAATTGAAGGGAGTATTGAACTAATTACGAAGAATAGTAATAGACTGGCTACAGAGTAGAGAAATGAGTGAGGGGATTAAGATTTTATTTTTTATATTTACTTATTTTATACAATAAACTAATGTGAAAAAATATTAAAGAGAGAAAGAGAATAACAAAGATTATTCGATTTCGGGATTTTATTAGTACACAAAAATTGTATGTGTATGACTAACTAAATAAAATTGACCGGTCTGCCTATATAGAGAGACAGAGAAACAATACATAATATTAAACTGAAGAGAATAACCAACATAAAAAAAAGTTTAAAAAATATTTAGGTGAGAACAAAATTATGCGAAGAAGAATGAAATATAATAAAAAAAAAATAAAATAAAACAGTAAAATAAAAAAAAAATAATTTTTATCAAAAGAAGAAGAATAAAAGAGCCGACTTTACGGCATAACAGCAGACGTGTACGAGTACAATATAATATGCGATATACTTGTACCGTACCTTTGTATATTTTATATATTTTGTATATTTTCTCATATTTGATATTTCAGGGAGGGTTACCATTATTAAACTATGCTATGCATATATATACACATATATATTTAAAAATATACAACTGCAATACATATTTATGTACGTTTGTGAAATTGTTGTATGTTTCAGAAATTTTGATGCATGCATGATCGGAAAGAAGTTTGACGTTACACTCAAAATTATTTTGTATGTGAATTTATTTTTATTTTCACTGAAGGAATAAATGAAATTTTATTGTGGATCTATATAAAGTAAATTAATTAAAAATAAAATGATGAAAGTCTGCCGATTTGAAGAAGAGTACATAGTTTACTAGACTTTGAACAAATAGAAAAGTTACAGACTTACAGTCATATCAAATGTTGTTGAAAAATGTGACACATCTATTGTTTACTCTAAAACACCTTACTGACCCTTTGTGTAACTAGAAGTAATTTAAGAAGTTTCTTCGCATTTAAGAAGAAATACGCAGGACTTATGTGAATTTTATAAATATATGGAAGTGAAAAGGGTAAATTTCAAAGGCTACAGCAATTGTATACAATACAAGAGTCAGTTTTGAATTAAATTCAAGGAAACAATTTAAAATTTATAATGAAAGCGCCTTTAGAAACTTGGATGAAAATTCCTAGTAACACAAATTAGAAGCAAATATACGTACATTAGTTTCCAAATTAATGTTAGTCAGGGAAGGTGGTCACCTAAAAATAACACGTTCCAGTGACTTATATCCACGGCACTTTGGATCATCTTTTAACTTTTACGTCTCCCACATTCTTTTTTCATTTCTTTACAGATGAATGTGTCACTACCCGAGAAAAATCGTTGATTTTTTATTTTTCTAATTAATTGTATAGTTGCAAATTTGTAAAAATTTCAAATAGGAATATGACTTTCCGATTTAGAATCGCAATAACACATTTGAGGCAAGTGCTTCAACTCCACTAGACAAGTGGAAAATCTAATTTTTTTATTTTTAAACTTTATTAAATAGAAATTGTGCATAGCATTGCCTTCAAATTCAAATTTCTAAGACATATTTTTTCATTACAAATTTATTTCTAATAATATTTGCTACAATGCTTGACCTTTAATAATTTTTAAGGAAATTTCAAAGAAATGTGTCAAATGCCACACCGGCACGTTTCATTTCCTTAATTGATATTAAAGAGCCATAAAGACTATAAGTGATGGACTATCGCCGAAAAAATAATATTATAATTTGAAATTAATATTCAAAGACGGTCAATTGACAAAGGAAAGAATCATAATTCAAAATTTTTACCACCTCGATGTTAATAATTCTTATTTAATATTCATATCACAAAAAAAATTCAATTATTTTTTTTTTGGCAGTCTATTTCTGAACAATTTTTGTTATTGACCATTTCATGTTCAAGTAATGAAAAAGATTTCATTCATTGTACATTCATGAATGGTTTTATAATAATATTTTAATAATAAAATTATTCAATTGATAACTGATAAATAATTTTGATTTCAAGATCAATAATTTTTAATTTTCAATTAATTTCTATAAGAAAAACGGATATTTAAGGTTACGCATAATGCGTTCTAAGGCTACAAATTAAACTATTATTGTTCGATTGAACATTACCAATATTAACACGTGACAAATTTATATAAAAACATTAACCACATAATTACAAATCATCAGTATCCAATTATCAGTCTTCATATCCGGATTAAAAAACTAATTAGAATTGTCGAATTATAAAACAATAATGGAATTAAAAGCAAAGATTTTAATATTAATTGCAATTTCAATTATTGAAGTCAATTCCGAACCACCAAGATTTCGTTCTTCTTTTCGTGTAAGAAATTCAAGATTAAGATTTGCTAAACAAGAACTTCCACCACCACCTGAAGAACCTACTCCCGAGGAACCAGCACCATCGGCCGCTCCGAGTGGACCATATCCACCATCCGGTTGGAAACCAAGTGGTCGTGCATTTCCCCTACCAACTGAAAAAGAAGCTGAACCAGATAATACATATGGACCTCCAGAAAGAACAACAGTCCCTCCAGATACAACCTATGGTCCACCAGATAATACATATGGTCCACCAGATAATACATATGGTCCACCACAAGAAATGACAACAGAACAAGCAAGTGCTCCTTATCCTCCATCACAACCACCAAGTGGGCCATATCCGCCTTCTGGATGGAAACCAAGTGGTCGTGCATTTCCCCTACCAACTGAAAAAGAAGCTGAACCAGATCAAACATATGGAGCACCAGATAATAAATATGGTCCACCAGAGAATACTTATGGACCACCGGAATCAGAATCAACTTCAACAACAATACCGGATACTGAAGATGATACCGTAATTGTGGATGCACCAATTGAAGGACAACCCGAAGCATTCTTTTATATTCGTTTACCAAATGGAACAATACAAAAAGTATCGTTCTCACCGACGAAAACTGTAGAACAATTTAAATCTGCAAGATTACGACAAAATTCAAGATTCAATGAATTTGGTACGTTATCCAAAATAAAATAAGGTAAAATCAGTGATCTAATATTTTAATGTTTTTTGTTTAATTAGAAAATGTTTTATGATAATTAAATTATATTTTAAATGAATTTCTGTTAATAAAATAATGTTGAGTTTCTTTTTTATAAAGAAACAATGAAAATGAACTAGAAAATTTTTTATTTAGGAATCCAAAGAAGTTTATGATTGATTATAAAGAAAACTGTAATAACAAAGCAAGGCTGTGATCACAAAGAGGTCTTTTAACCTGAATAGCTTTTAATTTTAATTGCAGCCTGTTTGTAGTAAATGCTTCCCTAGTAAAAATGCGTTCTTCGTAAACTAAACTGTATCACTACCTAACCACTCTTGAGTTGTAAATCAATTTAAATTTGAATATAATTTTCTGAGTGTTTTGACCTTTAAAACTTATTGTTGTTACTTTACAGTATTACAGATGGACCAAAATGTGATGATAGTAATAGCATTAAAATAAAAGAGAAATTATTTTTTTGAATCTCTTCTTTTCCATTTTTTACAAACTAATACTGAAAAATAAAAGCAACCATACTACGAGTAAGAGGTAAGAAGAAACAACAAATGTAATTTTTTTCCAAGTTTAACGAAAATATTATATATGAATAAAACAACAAAAAAAGTTGAAGAAGATAAACCAACCGATTCTTTACGGTAAGTCCATTTTTCGATCCCAGTTAGACTTTATAAATGCACTCGTATATTCTTATATGTAAAAATTATTATTGGCAGGAAAGCTGGAACTGTAGTAAAATAATGACCAAGTAAAAACATTTAACAATTATCAATCATTCAAATAAATTTTGGGACTGTTTGATTGAATGATCACAAACTTTTCAAAGAATAGAATTTTAAAAGGGACTCCTTAATTTTATAGAGTTTTGCGTCATATATTGCCGAATTTCGTTTAATATTGCTCTTTCCGGGTGCTGCTGGATTTGCTGCTAATATTCCTGTTTCCTTTTGCTAATTTATATAATCCGGATTCTTTCAAATGAATCGAATTAGATCTAATCAAAATATGAATAGAGTCGAAAGTCTATCTGGGAAACTTTGTAAGTATACAATGACTACATATATAATAATATACAAATAGATATCACTATAATATGTATGTATTTACGTATAATACTGAAATGCATAGAAATTCAAAAATTTCAAACTCCATTCGTAAAAGGGAAACAAACCAATTCGTTATGGATGGCTTTTTCATGTAGAAAAAATCATCCTTTATTAGTTTTTTTTTGCTCTTCATTTTCATTATTCCTTTACTTTTTTTTATAAATTTTTATACTGTGCCGCTCATACCGTTCTATATACTTACGTTCATGTATGTTTGAATTTGAGAGAACTATTTTGTATACCTATATGTATGTTTTCCATTCTTTCATCAGAATACATCTTTTAGTTAGCTGCAGAAGGTACCTAACCTATCTATGTTATATAAAGTAAAGATTATACGACTGAATTATAATTGCAATATTTTTTTATTTTTGTTGTTGTTATTATTATTACATTTTTTTTTTTTAGAGTTTGTGCTTCTGCTGTTGCTTTTGTTGCTTGATATTATAATGCAGCTTTCTTTATGGTTTAATATGATGATCATCAGCATTATTCCAAAGAAGAATTAAAGAAGAGTTTAAGAATTGGAAGAAGTGGTGGAAGAATAAGTAAAGAAGTATAGGGCAACAATAACAGGCTATAACTCTATATATACAGAGCGGTAGGAATCAATATCACTTTAGAGAAGGTTTAATGAATATAATATGTAGGAATAAAATCAAAATAAAAAGCGAAAAAAGAAAATATTGAGAGGAGATACGGGAACGCATAAGACAATCATTATCATCAATCCGTATCAACATCATTTTGTTATGATCATCATCATTGTTCTCATCATATTGTATTTTCGATAGTGACGTATATATATCGCATCATATTGCATTGCATTGGACCATTAAAAAAGCGTTTTCTTGTAAGGAACTCAGCACTTTAAGAATTCATCTTTTTATTCTTGTTTTTTTTTTTTGTTTTGAAGGAAATTATTATTATTCAGGCGTTTTTTTTTATATGCCGTTTGTAGTTTTTGTTGTTTTTTTTTTTTTACTAATGCTTGATTTTTTTTTTTGAATCATAAAATATTTTATTTTCAAATAGTTGTAATGAATTTTTTATTAGGTTTGGAATAATAAAATAAATTAACTCTTAAAATTAGGAACAAAGAATAATTTGTAAGCAAGTCTTGCTTCCTCGGGTTTTTCTTCAAAAAAGCACAAAATTAAAAACAGATTATTATTCTTTTTTAAGTTGGACACAGATTTAATTTAGTTGAGTTATATAAGACAAGGATCTTCAATTAGGCAGAAGATTTCCTTGACTTCCGAATTGCATATTGCATATAGGTGTCTCAACCAAAAGGATTCAATTTTATGCTTCAGTATTTTGCGGTCAAATAATATGCTTTTGAATGACGCTTTTTTTTAGATGTAATATCTACTTGTATGTACTATTAAGTTTTCTTTTGTCGATTTCAATTAAAAGTCGATTTCAAATTCATTTCTGGCTCCTATACATCACTCTATTTGGGGTTGATTAATATTCCCTCTCCTTAAAAATCGAAGAGGGAGCCAAGGTTTTCAATTGAAATGAATAATGAAATATTTTTAAAAATTTATGTTTAAAATTTTATCATTAGACATCGTCTAATTTCCGACAGTATCCTGTTATTCTATAAATTCTATTGCAGAATTATGGCAATAGAGATGACCAACAATTATGACTTAAAAAAGGCTTATTACCTAGCACAGTGCGTATACTTTTGTTTCTAATATACACCATTCGATATCCTAGAGTATTCTGACATTATTTCATATATTTCTTGATCTTTTATTTATTTTTTTTCCCTATACGTATTCGATTTCTTGTTTGATCCATCATACATTTATGTGTATATGCTACTTTTTGATGATATAAATTAATTTTTTTTTTTTTTTATGGAAAAAAATTTTTATGCGCTGCTTTTTGTTAATGTTCTTTTGCACTGTTATTATGGGTTATTAAGAATGAATATAACGTAATATATGTATGTATGCTTGCGTCAAGATGTATACAAGTTACTTGAAAATTAGTCGGTTAAAAATGCTTTGAAATCATTCTTTTTTGCTGTTGTTTTTCTTATTATTGTTATTTTTAAGAATCTGAACATTTTTTTTTTTTTTTTGTTTTCCTTTGAACATTGAATTTTTAAGATTATTGTTGTTGTAAAATTTTAAATATTGCCTTTAAGAATATTTTTATTTCGGTTTTTTTAATAGCTTATAAGTTCTCTAAGTATACACTTATGTAAAATTGTATATAGAAGATTGTGTATAGAAAGAGAAAAAAAAACAATAGTGAAGGAGGAGATGGATAGCATTTTTTTAAGGGTTTCTTTTTATGACACCGATTTTTATTATTGTATTACGAAAAAAAAGGGAGAAAAAAGGGGTTAAATTATAAGTTGGAAGAGTTGTAAGGAAATTTCTTAATTTTCATATTTTTCGTTCTCTTAATTTAATATGTACATATATATATATATATATATATATATATATATATGTGCAGTATATGTAAATTTGTAATTCAGTATTTTTGTGTAATTGAGACTAAATATATTGTAAAGATATTATTGACCTTGGAACTTTGTTTTAAACAATAATATTGTATTGTTTTCTCTTCGTAATATTATTTGAGCGTGCGTTTGATGTATAAATTACATGGACAAACGTTTCCACATATACACACGGTTTTTTTAGCGAATTTATTAATAAACAATTTAAGAAATTCTAGATATTTTTGTGTTGATATACAGTTGATATTATATTTGTAGATTATTGTCATATTGTTTTTCAATTCACTTGGTTCAGGAATCACTGTAATTTTGTATAACAATAAATTTCAATAACAATTTTCGATTATATTCACTAGTATTATAACTACTGTTTTACTTGTATATTAGTTACCTTAGAGCTTCTTATATAAATGTAGAGTGTAATGATTTATTGTGTTTATTATAAGGAAACCTTAAAGATTTCTTTTAATATCTGTTCCAATTTCTGACATTTTGGTGCTATTCGTACTCTTCAATTTCGTTTTCTATTGAAAATTAAAAAGAGTTACAGGATATTATTAAAATTAATTTAAATATTAATTTATTTATTCCAGTAATATAAAATACGTACGATGATGGTTCATTTTCATTTAAAAATGATCTGGAGTTCATTTTATGGTGAATGAAGCTGGATATTTCACTATATTCACCTTGTTTTTTCTTATCTTATTTAATTTGAACAAAGTGTTTGAAATAGGGTAGTGCTTTGTGTCATATGATTATAAGTTCATATTAAGAAATTAGTCCATCAATTGAACTTCACAGTCATATACATGATTTAATTTATCTCGATTAATTGTTAATTAGGCAACGTAAAGGATACTTGTGTGTTGAGTTGTGCTAACAAATCAACACAAACGCTTCATAAGCCATCAGAAAACATATTTTATTGTGACACATTTTTAACAGTGCCGGAAAAAGTCATTTTAAGTTGTAGATATCATGAAATCTCCGTCGTTAAATTGCAGCTGTTATTTTAGTTAAATTTCAAGTTCTGTTGAGTTTTATCATATTAATCAATACCAATTATATATACCCAAATATATATATATATTAATTTAGTTATTAGATCATAATTAATAAAAAAAATATATGATTCATTCTTAAATGATGCCCGCACAAATCTCAATAATTTTAAATCCGCAAATTTCTTAATAAGCTGCGAAACTAATGACATTAAAATTGATTCATTTCAGGATTTTTCTTGAGTGATTAAATGAATTTTAAATGTGTTATAAGTATAATTATTTCAATATCAATATAAATCTTAAATATTCCAAAAGAAATCCCGAAAAAAGCAGATTTTAGCTTTAAAATCT